GCCCGGTATGCATCTGCCTGTTTAAAAATTTAAAGCTTCCTGTTTTAGAATCTTAGAATCCTACTACTGATTACAGCTCTGTATTTAGTCCCCGTTCGGACACCATCCAAAAACAGAGACTTATAGATTGACCTCTATGTGTGTGCGTCTTTGTGTCTGTGTGTGCATGCGCCCAAACCTATATCTTCGACATGCCTGAACCGATTACATTCAAACTTCACACATACATCAAAAATAATATTATACACATGTACATATGCACATCAATTTGTTCCACAATCTGATTCAAGTTAGCCGAATAGCAGCCATTATTTTTGTACTGAAATGAAATAAAGTATTTCTGGCATCCTGAAACCGGATCTTCACTGTTTACAGATGGATTTTGTTCAAACTTAGTCCATACATTGGACATTATGGGACCTTGATGCATGTCATTTCGTTTTTCAATGAATGCAGTTCTAGTGTCATATCTCTGACATCCTTTGACTGATTATTTCAAATTTTATTTATTCTTAATACATCATGTCATAGATATACTGGTGTATTAGTTTGATGATCCATTTCAAAATGGCCGACCGGTGGCCATTTTGTTTTAATTAATGCTGTACCAGAGCAATATCTAAGTACAATCAGATACAAGATGACTGAATGCCAATTATTTTAATGTTAAAAAATCATCATAATCAAGCATCAGCTTCTGGATACATATCTCTGACATGTTTATGTTCAACCTATATTACTATATCAGGAGTTTTTCTAGAAAAAAAACTGCAAGAGGGAGCACTGCAATTCAGCGTCACCACCAAGTAGGGGAGATAGGGTTCTCCTTAGGGTTCTTTTGATAATTCTAAGTTAAAATGAAGCATTCTATGGCTTCCTTGGGGCCAAAATTACTATCAGACAGGTCACAGTTAAAGACTGTGGCCACATGTGATCCCTGGTCAATCAGAATTTTATGGTTGCCAGAGGATCTACTCCCCAGGGTAAAGGGATGCATGGCCATAGCATGAGGGCGCTGCGCCCCTGTTCCTTTGTTTATAAAAATCCCGGTATAAACAAAACTATGTACATGTATCATAAATTTGATAACTCACAGGGACTGTGCCATGCATGGCTTGTTGTAATATATTTTTGTTGTTTTAACCAAGTGTTGATTCCTGTACATTACAGGGTTAGTGACGCTGAATTCAGAAAATATAATTTTCTATTAACCTAACTTATACTTATACAATATTTAACCCAGCCATTTGTCATAGATTTGGGTGATGTATAATTAATTTATTCATATTTCCATGACAACCAATAGGTAGTAAGCAGTTCGGTGCCCCATGTTTGAAGGGAGGTAGTTCATATCTTGTGGACATTACGGCAGACGGTTCGACTATGGGAACTGCAGGAATAGTGTACATGGACTCGGTGAGTTTTTTCATCAAATATATAAAAGCCATTTTGTGAAGAAGTATTGCATTCTGGGTTTATATATTTACTGTTTCTGGATTTTCTTTTTATTTTTAATAGCATTATAACTAAATTATTGTTTTTTATTGTTAACATTTTTTTCATCTGATGAATAGTTAGTTCTGTTGCCAGTTTTGGATGACATCAGTCTGTATACATCCAATGATACCACACAAGAAGAGAAAGATAAGATGTCAACGTGCTGGGAATCATCCTTGAAGGCTGATCCGCAACAAAGAGCGAGTCTGTCTTGCTCTGATATTGAATTCTCAATGATGGCTGAAGTCTATGGTGATGCTATTCGTACGTCAACTTTTGTCTTTCTTGTATTCACTGTAATATAGATGTAAAATACTTTATTTCAGCTGGAATTAATTTTTACTTAAAAGAATTTTTGGGTGTTTTGTATGGAATTTATTTTCACTGATGTTTGATGAGTTGAATGTAAAAATGGTATATTCGCTGGATTTTCTTTTCACTGAGTCATCACTTCAGTGAAAATAGTGAAAATTAATTCCAAGCGAAAATAAAAAAAATATTATGGATGATTAAAATATTTTGGATGACTTTGGACGAAATGAAATTTAATTTCAATTGGATACTCATTTTGGAATGTGACTCAGCCAAAAGCGGGACTTACTGAGGCGCGATTTAGCAAAGGGTTACTGTATTACATCATAATCTTTTGTAATCGCTAAAATTACGGTAGTCAGTGTACAATAATTACCACTGGAAAATACAGGATCATTTCTGTGATGTAATTACTGCTCTCAGCGTATTGATAACATCACACATGTGCAAAATCGAAGAAAATATTAAAAACGATTTTCGATTGACGAATCTCACAATGAAAACATACCCACACAACCTGTTTGATTAGAACATAAATGAGTGGATTTAGAACGACTACATTAGGTTTTTAAAAATTAGTTTACCAAATCAGCTTAGAGTTTGCGGTTGACAGGTATTTTCATTGTTTCACCAAGTTATATTGTGTCGTAATTTTGCTGTATTTTATGGGGTATTTTCATCGTACCATATTAGAAAAATGCGAATTCCAAATATGGAATGATTACACATGTAAGCGTCCTCTAATAATAAAACAAACATGGCTGCCACAAGAGTTTGACCGGACTCCACACAAAGAAGTTCGCTGATTCTGTTCTAAACTTTTTAGATTTTGGCATTCCCATGGTATATCCTTGGAACGAAAAGCTGTATCATAATAAGGTTATTACGAGTATACCTCAAAGTATGCATGAAGACAGTACAGCCGCACTATCGACAGACGTGCAGCGGAGGTCGATGTGTGGCAGACTTTCTGTCATTCATAGTTTTTCATACAAAAACAATTGCACGTCAGAGCATATGCACAGTAGCATCTAAACAAGCCTGATAGAAGATAATTTCAAAATAATGGATTGCATAATCTATTGGAAAACGTGTGATATGGTGGCTGTGAACACACATAGATACTTTTAAGTATTAGAACATAGTACTCCAAGATTCGTCGCATGGAACATCATTATACCAGTAGTCTTATTGATTTTTCATCAAAATGCCAGTCCCGGTATTCTCTAGCATTTTTGTTTTAGCATGATATTCTAAATAAATTTAAAAAATATTTTGCAAAAACCAACATTCAATAAAGACAAAATAAAAATTTATAAAAATTACGTCTTTAGATAAAAGTTGGCAAAGTTGGCAAAGTTGGCAAAGATGACCAAAAATAAGATCACTTATGATTCTGTTTTTCAGCGTGTAATTGTAATGCCGAGGGTAGCGTATCAGATACGGTATGCGATTCTCATGGTGGACAGTGCGAGTGTTTGAGTAATATCATATCCAGAACATGTGACTATTGCGCTGTCTATCACTATGGTTACGAGTCTGGGCTAGGATGTACTAGTAAGTTATTGAATTATTATAGTTTTATTTGTTCGTTATTTCATTACTCATATCAGCACCAACTCACAAGTAATAAAAAGCCTAGTGCAGATCTTGTGATAGGAGCTAGACATCGTATAAATATAACATTATTAAATTCCTTACTCTTTGAGATGAGTATGGCTGTGTTCTGTAGCATGCACACAGGAAAGGAACATTAGGTAACCCCCATAAAGTTTCTAATGGTCAATTACCCTCCAATTTCCCAAACTTTTAGACCATAGCAATAAACCCAAATAAACTCCACTGGGTAAAAAACACCTAAAAAATGTGCATCCATTGATTTTTACGCCGCTACAAACTTTAATATGTCTGCTTGCGTGTTGTAATATGTTTTAAATCTGTAAACCCATATATAATGATTTCATTAAATGATACTGGTATTTTAAAATTAGTCTGAACACATTGACTACTGAGACACTCTACGGATAGTCATGGATTGCTGATTTCTACTGTATAAGAATTCTCCTGCATGCAATGTATTAAACCATATTTTCTTTCCTACAGGCTGTGATTGTCATCCTGAAGGCTCTCTGTCATTGTCATGCAACCATACAACAGGCATTTGTGATTGTCAAGTGTTTGTAAATGGTTCTAAATGTGACATTTGTTATACCGAGTATTATGGACTTGATTCAGGTAAGTTTAATTACTCTGCTGATGGCTCACTAAAACAATAATTATTCATGTCTCAGTACAACATTAATAGACCATCTTATGGTCAATGCTATATCCCGTGTTAAGTGTGAAATCAAACGCAAAAACAAGACAAGCAAAGATCATAGTGTCATAGTGGCATCAAAACATTGCATGGGGTACGACTAACATGAAACTACTTGTTCGCATATTTCCACGCTTAATAATGTGCCATACAGATTTGATGATGGTCAATTTTGATGAAGTAAAGATATCTTGATGCCATATATACTATAAAAAAAGAGTTGAAGTTCAAAATCAGCAATGAAAGTTTGAAATCTTGCAATGAACAAAAATTACCAATTTTAAGATCAGTGTTTAATGAAATAGACATTCAAGATGTGTTGTACTATTCTTTTATACTATTACGTTCATTTTAATGATTTATTTGATAAGCACTATATGAATGATTATAATCAATAATGGGTTTATAAACAAATATAATATTGTAGCTGTACATTGAACCATATTCCAAATAGACAAGTCATATAGTACACATGTACTTACAATCTGAGTACATGTATCTCAGAGTGATAATCTGTGTAGCAATCACAATTGTATGTCATGACTGCAAAGTTATTCATTTTTACTCTAATGAAAGAATTTTCAAGCAAAATGTCATACAAAAAAATCATAAAAATGGTGATAAGAAACCGCTGATTGCTCTGACAACATTGGTAGTCTTTTGTCACATGATTATGAACATTTTAAACTTGCATCATGCTGGAAATGGTCTATTGCTGTAATATGTTGAATATAGGAGCATCATTAGGAAAATATAATGCAATATCCTAACCATGTATTATAGATATAGAGAAACCATAGCTTTAAATTGTTAAGTAAAGTGTGCCCTCTAGAGGTGGTAGTACTCCCTCTACAGGCAGCAGTAGTTTTTAACCTGTATCTATATTGGTAGTTTTATTGATGGATAATGTCGTACATAAAATTTGTATTTTATTTTGCTATGTGCATGCTGTTATGAATAACCCTGCATGATTGTATGTTTGTTCACGACACATTACCTTTCTGCATTATGGTTGTCATGGTTACCATGTAGTGAATATCACAGAGACAGGTATAGTGGTATATTTTGCACAACTTGCCAATTTTATATACCCACAATCCTTTGAGTTTGAAGAAGTAAACAATTAATCTTCTCTTTGAGAGAAAAAATGTTTACATTGAAAACAAAAAATTTTAATTCGAAACTCTTTCATAAATTGCTACATAACGTTCAGCCTATGCCCAGATGGATACATTACTGTAGCAACAAATAACAAAATTACAATAATTTTTTTTAAAGCATCAAACTCAAAGCATTCTGGGTAAAAATGGTACATGTTACCACATGTTTTTTAGTGGCATTTTTTTTTCCATTCTCATTATTATTCAATTCAAATGTATCTTGATTGATATCTTGGCAAGTCCAATCCATTCCCATTTATTAGCGCAGACATTACAATTTTATAAATATTATAAATAAGGTGAAATGTAATGTTTAGTTTTTTAGTTTTTAAAGTTGAAAACGTTGAGTGTGTATATTTACATGTGTAATGAGTTTGAGCATCTGATAATATGTAGGCCAACATGTCACCATGGCAACAGAGAAATCATTAAAAGTTTGTTTGCTTCTCACAGCTCTGATCTATGAATTACTTGATCAAGCATGTATGAAATGACAGGCTATTTATGTTTGGTCTCAAATTTACCAAAAAATGGCGAAAAAAACAACAGAAAAATTTTGAATCAATATTCTGGTTATTAAATTATGTCAGTGGTAGTGCATAAATTACATTAATGCACCAATGGGATGTGGTGTTACAAAAAATGCAAATTAGAAGGCCCATTTTACTTTTCGTGATTTAACGTCCCCCAAATTCCTCTGAAATGTGCGTTTATGTTGCCATCATTTTAAAGTATCACACCCAATGTTATCAATTTTTTTGGTACAAAGATTGTCCATTCTCTCTGCCCTGTCCATCAAAGACTGATATAGATATTTTTAATACAGACCTTCTGATTGGCTCAGCCATCAACAATATTTCTATTCTATTCTATCAGAAAGAATGTCTTATAGATCTCTACAAATATTGGCCACAGTGAATGTACAGTCAGTTATACCAGGCTAGCAAAATAATTTATGAAGAAAAATAAATATGTAGTGGTGCATATCTATAAGGGTTCAAAGGTGAAAGTTCAAAGGTGAAATGTGTAGCAAGATTTTGTCAAGGAGATGCTCTTGATGTCGTAAAATTAGAACAGTTGATTAATTATTGGTACTTTCTTTTCAAATATTGTTGATTACCGGTAGACTTTTTTCACAGTGCCAACATAATTACAGATAGAAATAACATGAATGTATCTTGACTGTAGATAAATCTCTGCAGACAGTGTACAATATTTTAAAACAAAATACATGTAGGTAATCAGCTGCTCTGACCTTACAACATCCAAAGCAATATTGGTGGTTTTCATTAATCTTTTCACCACCAGTTCCCGCTCTTCATCACAAATTTACAAACTAGTCCCATTTATAGTCTGCACTTTCCTTCAGAAGATTGAGACAAAAATAGTCTCATGTTTTGAGTAAAAACTGAAAATTGACTAAAATTTTGTCTGTTGGCTCCAAAATTAGGGCTCATTTCCAGAAATATTAGAAAAAAGTGCAGAAAATTTGAGCGAGAAAGTCTGGTGGTGAAAAGGTTAATTAACTGAAATGTCTTTTACAGAATAGGTAAAACCTCGTTTTCTGGACAAACTTTCTTGTAACAAGCCCCCCCCTTCCCAATCTTTGTCATACATATCATATAGAGATTCTACACAAATAAATGCCAAACCCAACTGTTTCACTTATTGCTTATGTTATCTAATATTGATGTCAAACATTTTTTTCGTTTTGACCCCTCCTCAAGGTTCTGGCTGCACTCCCTGTGTATGTGAATCTGAATATTCCCTTAATAACAGATGTAGCAATGATGGACAGTGTGATTGTAAATCTGGCATTGGAGGTGTGTCCTGCGATGTATGTCAAGCAGGGTAAGTATACTGTCGGAAACTAACATCCTGGCATTTTTTATCATCTTGACAACCACAACCAGCGAAAACAGTGGTAGAAAACTCTCAAAAAAGTGTGCTTTGGTATAGTTGTTGAGACTCTCCTGAACAGTGCAAGAAGATTTAAAATATGCAACATATATAAATTTGGTTGTTTTCTCGACCTTCACCAACTCTTCGATCGGCGTTCTTCAGCAGCTCGCATATAGCTCATAGAAATACATGGTACATGGGACGTGTCTTTCCTTGACGTAGCTTTGCCCCGAGAATTGACAGATTGACAAAAAGAATTGACAAAATTCTGCAACCCAAAGATTGAGTAAACTAGAAATGTGTTGAAATTGTTGTTATTTAAAGAAAGATATTTTATAATTCATTTTAGCATTTTTCCTGACTACTGTATTTGTGAAAATTCTTTTGTATGAAATTATGGAAGAGGTTAAAAATTACAGAACATCTCTAATTTGTTTACTAAAAATGTTTTCATATTATGAAATATTGATTTTATTTTTCATGTTAGTGATTTTTTTTTTTAAAGACAGTTTTGCTTGAAATACAAAATAAATTATATATGTTTGATGTCAACTGTCTCTGTTATAATGACATTGTCTGTATCCATCTCTTGATAGTTACAGTAATTTCAGAATTTTTAAATTTTACTGTATAGGTTTTATAATTTAACGACTGATGGGTGCACGGCATGCGAGTGCAACGTGTATGGTACGACTGCTAGTGAATGCAATTCCAATGATGGCACGTGTACGTGTACAATTGCGACACAAGGGGATAATTGTGATAGCTGTCAAAAGGGTAAGTTTAATTTATAGGGACCATCTCTAAAGTTTGCAAATTTGGAGTCAATGCAAAGCTTTAACCGACTGTACCTGATTGGCTACTGAACCCTAACACCCAACAGTTGGACCAATCAGAGAGCAACTCGTTTGTTGATAGTTTTTTTTTTCATATCAAATTCTGTTTTGTATATATGCTTCTACTGAGCTGCAAATATGTGAATTCTGGTGTCATTATTTGCAGTCTTTTGCATTATGTTTCTCTGGTGTTTATTGACTCTACATGTACAATGGTGCATGTCTGATAATGATTGGTTTATTGCAGCTATAATGAAAGTCACGTTTGCTAGAATCTTTGCTATATACTGAAGCATGGACAAAAATGTGTTCTTATGTGAATGTATGCAAGATAGAAAATGCATTCAGTAGTGAGAAATAATAATATTGCTCTATTCTAATCTAATAAACCTAATACAGTATGTACAACAATGAATGGTTGTCCTAACAGTACTATGCAAGCACACTTTTACTTAAAGCTGGCTCATTGTTGGCGCGGGCAAAGGACCAGCAAGCCAGCCCAGGACTTGCATTGTTGACCGGGCTTGCTTTTGATCGGAAGCTTTCCTTTGGGAAGGGACAGGTGTCAACTTTCCTGTGCAAACATGCAAAGCTTGCTTTTTAGGCTACTATGAGAATCATGACAGATTAGTTGCAATGTCTGTTACAAGTACATTGCAGTTTGACATTTTACTTTTATGCATTTCATGTAATATATAAAAATCAGAAATGCCACTGCCAGTTTCAAGAGCACTATTGGTAATTTGATTTCAGAATATTATGGGCTGGGTCCCTGGAGCAGCCTTGGATGTATACCATGTATGTGTTCTGGACATTCTACAAACTGCACCACTGCCACTGATTTTTATTACTTGAACTTGTACACCGATTGGTCCCTTTTTGAAGAGGTAGCCGTGGCCCCTAGATGGAGTGGTTCAACCGCAATAGAAGGTGGTGAGGATGTGGAAGTTGAGGACATCGCTGTAGTGGAAGGGGATATGTCAAGGTATGACGTCTTCTCTAAAACGCTTGCGCTTGTGTGGATAACTTCACCCACAGACTATCAACGAATCGCAGACAAACACATGTATAAATTGAAACGGCAGAATATATCCAAAATTTGGAAACAGTGTATAAATGCTAGAGTTTAATATTGAATTGAGTACCGAAAAATCTCAAAATATTTAGCCATATTTGTAACCCCTCCAGGGCCATGATTTTTTAATGTTGAAATTTTAGTGTAACAGTTTACACATTTTTATGTACATTTTGGTTAATTTTTTACCAAATAGACACGATTTTCTATTGGCTGCAGGTTTTGATCAAAATTAGGATTTACTAATAACTTTCTCTAAATAATAATAATATTTTGTTGCTTCAGGTTTGTTTTAAAAATGACTGAGCCACCGAATGCAACTGAACTATTCTTTGTTTCATCTGAGCCATATAATGGAGACAAGCGAACTGCCTATGGACAGGTTTTGTCGTTTACTATCAGTCAATCACAGCTTGAAAATCAGACCATTTCAGATGTAGGCGATGTGTTCATATATGGAATGTATGCCACTGAGCCGCTTGTAGCTAGTCTGCCAGAGAATCCAAACACCACGGCAACCACCTACACCGTAAGTCATCTATAAAAGACGTTTATAATCTGCTCCTTCAATCAGTTTTATCAGTTATCAGACATATTTCATTGTATATGATGTTCATTACATGTAGCAATTTAATATATAATAATTTTTCCAGTGGATTACCCTGCTTAACTGTGTTTGTAATGTTATTGAAGACCACTCAGTTACTTATTTATGTTGTTATGTAAATTATGTGACCCCCTAACTTACCTATTGTTTGTAATGCAAGTTGTATAAGTTTATCACGACTAAAACATCACACCTGCCATTTTGGTAGTAGGGCACCAGGATGACAGAATCATGTTCATTCCTCAAGCTGGTGGAATGTTAATAATTCTATCTGTTTGTTTAAAGTATACACTGAATGAGTTGGATGAATCATGGCGTATGGGAGATGGTAAAACACCTGTATTTCAAGACTTCTATACTATTCTTGCTGGGATAGAAAACATCTACATCAGAGCAAAGTATACTTCAGTAAGTACACCAATCAGACACCACCTTACTAGCTCTATGCATGATTAGTTATCCAATCAACAACTAGCTTACTGCACCACCACTGTGTATCGTCTACTGTGATTGATTATTCTAATGTATTTACAAAAGATAAAAACAAAACTAGATGGACCAATTTTACCAAATATATTGGACCATTACAGCAGATTATATTTATAGAAATATCACTTAATTTTGTGTTTTTTTTCACTGCAGTTAGAAGGTACAAGTTCTAATTTGTATGCTGTACGCCTGGACTATTCTGTTGCAAATGCGTCTCTGTCTGATACACCAATTGACAATGCTGAACTATGTACATGTCCACCAGAGTATACAGTAAGTTTTAGATGATGTTTTCATGATATCAAATCCTTTGTTAACCTATTCACTACCAGATTTTCTTACCCAAAATTTTTCAGCATTTTTTTCTGATATTCTTCTATATTTCTAGAAAATGAACTGTAATTTTGGTGCCAACAGACACAAGTTAAATCAATTTTCAATTTTTACTAAAAAAATTGGCTATTTTTGTCCCAATATATGTGCAGACTATAAACAGAACTATTGTTGAATTTGTGATGAAAAGAAGGAACTGTTGGTGTAAAGGTTAATAGAGCAAAATATTTTATTTTCGATATTTTCACTGAAGGAATGATTGAGTAAAAATAAATGCAGCAAATATACCCTTTTTTCCTATAATTCACATTCAACTCATCAAAAATCAGTAAAAATAAATTTTATACAAAGCCCCCAAAATACTTTTTCAGCGAAAATTAATTCCAGCTAAAATAAAGTTTTTTTACTGTACTGTATTTGTGTTTTCAAAATACCAGTTCATCTCTTGAAGGAATGCATCAGATATTGATTAAATAAGACTGTCTCAACCTATAGTCATGCTTACGTGCTTTGTGTTTGTTTGCAGGGCACGTTTTGTGAGCAGTGTGCTGTTGGATACACAAGAGATGACCCATCAATGGGGCCATTTGCCACGTGTATACCATGTACATGCAATGAACACAGTGAGCGTGGATGTGATCCGGATACTGGTGTGTGTGTAGAATGCATTCATAACACGGCTGGGGATCAGTGTGAAGTATGTAAGCCTGGTTACTATGGTGACGCTGAGGGTGGAACGCCTGGTGAGTATGATAATTGTCTTGTAAATATTACAGACTGTATTTTGTAAGAGTGGGTTACGAATCGAAAAGTTTGCATGGCTGTAAATTCATCTGCATGTAAATGTTTATTCTCATTGGCCAGTAATGCATATTTCCATTCCCGCCAAGCACTGACTTTAATATTAATTTCCAGACGACTGTCATCCATGTATGTGTCCCGGTCCGGCAGGGGAGAATTCATTCTCTGACGTGTGTGTCGCCGATAGCCTTGCAGAAATGGGATTCAATTGTCAAGACACCTGTGCTGTTGGTCATCAGGGTGAACGCTGCGAGACATGTGAGACAGGTTACTATGGAACACCAGAAGATTATACAGTAAGCATCTATCTCAATCTTGATTCAAAGCCACTATAGGTTAATAGTGTCAAATAGATTTCAGAAGCAAATGGTCACTAAGATCTTGTTGAGATCTTGTGAGAAACCCATGTGACTTGTTTTTGTCTCTCAAAATGTATTCTGCTCTCTCCTGTCATTGCATCCAACATTCTGTAACCATGGTTACATAATAGGACAATGGACATGAGGATGTGACAAAATGGAACACTATTTGAGTCACAAAAACAAGTTAATAAAAGGGGCTCTCTCTTGATCAATATCTATCTATCAAAGTCTATTACTAGTGATAACATTGGAGTGAAGCAAAACAACCACTTGGCATAGTCACCAATGGCTGTTACAATGTAAAATAAATATCACACGGTGCTTATTCGGGAAAACAGTCATATGATTATTATTTTACACTCATTGTAACTGCCATTGGTTACTATGCCGAGTGATTGTTTTTGCTCCAATCAGGTGTTATCAGTAGTACCGTACATGTAATTGACTGGCTGCTACTAATCTGCCATTTGTCATCATGGACTATGGTTATCTGGTTTTATCAGTATCTTTCTCACTGATTGTTTGAAAAATTATTTATCGCTATGGCAACATACATCACCCATAACAATCTGGCAAGCAGCCACACTTGTATTTTGTTCATTTTTTTGTTTCATCAGAATGAAGGTGGAGTATGCCAGGAGTGTTTCTGTAATCTCAGTCCCCAGGAATGTGATAGTGTAACCGGGCAGTGCTCTACCTGCTGGAATAATACTGAAGGACTTCACTGTGAAGTCTGTAAATTTGGATTTTGGGGAACAATTGATAACTGCCAAGGTAATTATGATTTTTTAATATAGATTGCGGGGAACACAATGTAAAATTGAAATAAATTTGCTACCAAAATTTTAGTTTTATTAAAGTGCTAACTCTATATAACCGTTGATAGTCGATACTACTTCATTAAGAAAATGTTATTCTATTCATACTGTAATATCAATAAGTTGTCGTTTGAGATAATGTTGTTACTGTCTGATAAGTGCATTGTTTTTTCTCTTTTTGTCATAATTTAGTGAAAGATATCGCTTGAAATGCAGTCGTTTGCATTCTGAGTGTTTCTCCATTTGATGTAAACTAAGGAAGTTAATTTAAAAAACGACTTTCCTCTCAGTTCATCTAAGTTAAATATTATTATATATCTATACTGCAGCATGTGATTGTGACTTAGTCGGTGGTTATGGCAACTGTAGCCAGGATACCGGGTTATGTATTTGTAAACCAAATGTGGAAGGTGATAGGTGTACTGAATGTGCTGATAGGAGCTGGGGATTTGAAAGTGGAGATGGCTGCACTGAATGCGACTGTCATAGCATTGGGACACTACCAGGACACTGGCAGTGTGATCCTGTAAGTATAAGTGTACATCTACTAAGTGTACTAATATGAGACTTTGATATCCATGTATTCAATAAAACACCAATTCTATGTGAGTTCCATGCGTGCATCTATCAATGGCATCACAGAAATCAAATTATGCTGTGAATGTTTTAATTGTGAAAAAAGAAATGCATCAATTGAATTTGTTCTGACCAATTGCGTCACAGAAATCAACGTAAACTGTAATCAGTTTAGATTTGTTCTAAACACTTGTTTTGTATAAAATTAGTATTTACCAACATTTTTTTGTTAATTTTTAACTTTTCACATTGGTTTCAGCTTTTTTTATCATACTCGGACTCGGCGCCCACGCTCGACTAAGTGTCCAACCCCACTTTTGGGGCATTTCTATTGTTGCGTTCATGTGTTCGGTTTAGTGCCCATAGACCACAGTAACCTTGCCAAAATCAATTCTAGCAGATAGTACTTTGACATCGATAGTTCATTTTCGCATTGCGATACCAGAATGCCATTGGGGATTCCCAGAGAATTGGGTCGGTCCAACACTTCATTCTGGTTGGTCAATAACAGACTTGACCTATCAGGTTAAAGGACGATGTTGCAGGCCACATCATGTGGAAATCATCATGTGGAAATCATCATGGCGAAAAATGCCTTGCATCGCAAGATTTTGCGTATGATCAAACACAATAAATAATAATGATGAAGAGTTTGACTGTGTTTCAACAGACTCTAATAATTTTAACCTTATAGATTCTGGTGGTACACAATTAATATTGTAAAAAAATATGCACATGTTTTGTGACCATTTTTGTGTCTTCATTGTAAAAGTGTTGTTGAAATCAATGATGATGCAACTTAATTCTCATTTTAAATCCCACCATAAAAGTGGTACTTTTTCCCCTAATCTAGCACATGGTGAACAATACCTTCCTTTTGACCAATTTTTTGAGTGGGATGCTCGACTAAGCACCCTCCTAAAAAAATAGCGCTAAGTCTGATGAGTCTGGTATAAGATGATAGGCTTCAGTCAGAAAAGGTGTAAGTGACTCCTGTCTCACTAAAGGCAAAACAGATAAGAGCATCATAATTTGATATATTATTTGAAATATTTATTATTAGTACAAAATTGATCATAAATAAAAACACTAATAATATCGTGATAAAAACAAAGTTAGGGTGAGAGTGTTCAATAATTGCACAAATGCAATATATAACCTGAATTTTTATTGTTTTCAGGCAACTGGTCAATGTGATTGCAAAGAGAAGGCAGTCGGTCTTCAGTGTGATCAGTGTATGGATGGATATTATGATATTGACATTGAATGTACAAGTAAGTAATATCACTTTAGGGTGTGACTGATTACTAAAGTTTGCAATTTATTCTTTTTATTATTTGCAACATATTAATTCTAATCATGTTATTTTAAAACAGAAAATAAAAAAACAAAATTTGGGCCACCAGACAAGTATTTGTGAAAAAAGATTCTGAAATATGTCCCATAATGCATTGCACATAATTGTTCAGTAATTCCTGGTTCCCAAATTGATAGCGTTTGTGCGTTTATTGTTTGTGTGCTTGCGCTTATTGCGCGAGGTCACCGAATGGGAAGGTACGACACATTTCTAACGTTCCAAACACGCAGTACACCCAACATCAATGTTTCGAACTTGCAATGTCAAACTCCCCTCAAATAAAACTGCCATCATCTTTCAACTAACTCATACCAGCTACTGAAAGTTTGCACACTATTATGCCTAAGCAAGAATAATGAACATGCAAATCATTTTTGGCTATGCATAATATTTTCACATTTTTTTTCGAGTATTTTGGGAGTTGAAAATCTATGTCATTTATATTTACTCTGCGAAACACACGCATACCATCTCTATTTCAGTCCATTTTCTCTAGAAATCCTTGTTTCTCAGCTGTCTTAAATCATTTGTACCAACCCACACTCCGCTAAAACTGTTTCAAACGCCGCTGACTTCTTCTTGGGTTGCACGTCTGCCCGTTTTCTTTTGACTTTTTATAGCTAGCTAGAAAATAGATAGAAATGCTGGAACCATCTTATCCAGAATGGGCGTGACATCATTGCAATGTTCAGACAGGTTTGCAGAGAACAGAAATTTGAATGTCTTTTTAATACATTGCACATATCAGGACTCAAAATTCATGTAGGCTATGAAGAGAATTGCCAAGACGCTTCAATTTAATACTTGTTTTCCCTTCAAAATACAATGTAGTTTAATTTATCCAAGGCAATTTTAGAATTTTTAGTCTTGAAATTAGGTGCCCCAGAAAACTGAAGGTAAGTTTAGTACACAATGTTAATTTTGTATTAAAATGCTTGTGTTTATTCCCATACAGTGTGTAATTGTAATGTGAATGGTTCATCTGAGATTAGCTGTGATTTGGAAACAGGACAGTGTTATTGTAATAAACCCACAATTGCTGGGAGAACCTGTGACCAGTGTGGAAGAGTCGGAGAAGGTAAGAATACAGTATGTTATCTCCGTAGCGATTCACAATTTGTCAAAATGACAATATATGAAATGCTGCTCCAAAATATTTAAATCAGTGTTTTTCTTTTTTTTCAAACTTAGATCGACTTTTTGTAATTTTTCTATAAAATTGACAGTTTTATAATTTTATTTTATTATATTGTGTATTATTCATTTATATCAATGAAAAAAAATATTTAATTTACAAGTGACAATAATGGTATCTACAGTAGTTTTCAGGATCTTTGTCTTGTTTCAGTGAGAATAAGTATTTCGGTTTTCTGTCAGTTAAAATCCCATTTGCTTAGATACGAAATACTTAAACAAATTATGCATACTTCTGTAAACAGTTTCCATGGAGACACCTAAAAAGCAATAAACCATTTTGAGGAGAGCAAAGCATTCAGCCAAACCGTTCTATGGTTAGGAATTATGGGTATGTACCTTGCCTCCAAAATTACCCATAATTCTTTACCATAAACATTTTTTGACTGAACATGATGCTAACCTCAATATGGTCTATTCTTATAATTATATGGTCATTATTATGTTGTAAATCCGCAAGCAAATAAATTTAAATTAAATTGAAACATGTCTGCCATCATCAGGCATCTACGAGTTTTTGCTATGTTTTATTTGTAATATATTAAAACATAATACTACAGAGAATTTATGTTATTTGTTTTCATTTCTTTACAGATAGTAACTTATTTGTTGATGAAGTGTTCACAGGTATGTTTTATAATTGGT